TGGTAACTTTACTATAAAAAGGCATTGTTTGTAATTTTACAACAAATATATATTGTTGACGTTTTTTATATATATAAAAATGTTACTTGTATTTTTACCATAAAAATGTATTTTTATTCTTTCATGGTGTTTTTTCTCTTGCGTAGTTCAGAATGTACCCATAGCTGGGACCCTAACTGGTGCTACTACTCCGGGTTAGGGTGGACTTGGAAACAACAGTATTTAAGAGGTAATTCCACACTCCTCGAAATCTCCAATCTCCCAATCAGAAGGCTTGTTTCCGGATGTAGTTTATCACCATATCCAGGATTATATCTGGAATGAAAAAAGGCTCCCAAAGAATAATACGAATCAATAGAATCTGTAAAATTGCGTTTCACACAGAATCCCAGCAATAAGATAAGCGTGAAACAATTTTCACGATTGTCTCATTGCTGATTCTTTTAGTCTATTTTTTAAAATCCTATATTACAAAAAGTATGTTCAGGTAGCGAAAATGTTGCTGGCGCCTAAAGCCTAATCTGTTGCGTTCACTTTCGCACCTGGTCAGGATTCTAACCATCCTTTTCCCACCCAGTTACCCTGTAAATATGGTAGATAGGGTACCCTAAACTTAGCTAGCAGAAAACCTCATATTACTCTGTTCAAAATCGTAAGTCGGGCAATGGAAAAATCATGACAAATCTCAGATAATGCTGGAAAAGGAACTGTGAAGAGCCTACATCCCGAAGCGACATGGCAGTTTTAATATAAAAGAAAGATGGTATAATGCATAAAAAATTACTCGGCTCGTGCAAGAGATTCTGCAATATTTACAACTCGAAGACAAGGAATGCACTTGACTGTGTACATAAATTTCCTTGAAATGAAAGAATGAATGAACAGATAATACGAAAAGAAAGTTTAAATAGAAGAAAAATGGGTACTACTATAATATATCTATCGAGGCATTTGCAACCTACCGTAAATGACGATGCACTCATTAATGCTGAAAAATGCTCAGGAAAAACAATGAGCTGTTTACTGTTTTTTTTTTTTTTTTTTTTTTAATTATTATTTTATAATTGACATCAAATCAGTTTACAAACATTAAAATAACAATTTGATGAAGTGTTTTGTATAAAAAAAAAAATTGTTACTGATTTTTAATACAAAACCCGTTCACTGTTCACTGCCTTTAACCCTATCCCTAACACCAACCCTAACACCGTTCTGGGTAAGACAATAAACTACGTCCGACAGCAAGTCCTCTGATCAGGAGGTTTTCAGGAGCTTGATACCATTTCTTAATTGCTGGTGTTCCCAGGCCCATCCTGACCCGGGGTGGTAGCACCTGTTAGGGTTCCAGGTATGGGAAAATAGTTAACCCCCAAACTGGGATCAAAACACGATGAAAGTGTAAAAATAGATCTTAATACCAGAAATACTTTTTTGTAAAAAATTATTACCAGCAATACATTTTTGAAAAAAAAAATATTACGAGCAATAACATTTTGTCAGCATTAAATAACCCATTGAGGATGATATGACGTAAAACAAAACAACCTAAACCAAAGCTAACATATTTGCAACAGTTGGTAAATATCACATAGAAAATAAAAAGCAGATATCATACTATAGTAGAAAATGGACGGTAGATGTCATAGTATAGTCGCACCAAAAATGTATAATTCACTGTTAAAACTATTTCCTCTTAAAGTCTCCAAATCATTATTTAAATGTTATATTCCATCAGGATTTAGGCGATCATGTCTCTCCATAGATTATTTTCTATTAGCTGATTTCCTGAGAAGCGCAGGGCGTTACCTGTTGCCATTTCGACGGTTTTGAATTCAGAGTACTCTTATACCAGTGTCTGCTACCCGAACGTTAAATAACTCGGTCTATCTTTTATTATTTAACCTACTGTTAAAATCATAACTCCGGTGAGAAGAGACGTACTCATACCTTTCCCAAGGCTATTAATTCGAAAATGAACCAACGGACCTAACGAAATTTGGCGCGGGCTCGACACTTCCACTTTCCTCGCCGATCAATACTCAATTATCAACATATATAAAACGCCATGTGTATCTGTCTATATCTATCTCTATCTCTATCTATCTCTATCTCTATCTATCTCTATCTCTATCTCTATCTATCTCTATCTCTATCTATCTCTATCTCTATCTATCTCTATCTCTATCTCTATCTATCTCTATCTCTATCTATCTCTATCTCTATCTCTATCTCTATCTCTATCTCTATCTCTATCTATCTCTATCTATCTATCTCTATCTATCTATATCTATCTATCTATATCTATCTCTCTCTATCTATCTATATCTATCTCTCTCTATCTATCTATATCTATCTCTATATATATCAACGAGTGTAAAGCTTTTCACAGAGTACTCGGTAAGATCTGACGCTAAGCATAAGAACTGGACAGTGAGATACTAGACTGAACGCATAAATAATCTGATATTAGATTTCTAGAACAAAGTATTAAACGCCAAGAAATTGTCCATAATATTTGGATAAAATGACTCTAGATATACCTCCAGCTATTCCCCTTTTGCTACGATTCCTTAAAACCATCTTTCGAAATTCATAGCATTCTGATCAGAACCATGAATATTGAAGCATTTATTCAGTGAATTTCTCAATTTGATTCCTTTCCGGTCGATAAATGTTCTCTGAATTATACTTGGATAAGATTTATCCTCAAGTGAAAAAGAATTTTGATAGTTTCAGAGAAGTGACAACCAGGGCACAAAAGCAAAGCCAATCTCAGAAAATAGTATATTTCTCGTGTAAACTTTATTAAGTTTTAATCAACACAACATACAGCAACTGTACTATATATATATTGAGTAGAGCTGCTTTCTCCGCGCCCAACTGGTTTTGAATTCGGCATTGTCCTTCTAACTTGATTGTCAACAAAGGCTAGAGAGCCATTCTATTAGGCCCTATCTGGCAACTGAATGCATCGATCACTGTTAGAATTTGAACTCGCTCCACCAATAAAAATTTATCTGCGCGCGCGAATCCATGAAGCCTAATTGTCTCAGACGAAGATTAGCATAGTAAACCTTATTCTTTTGTATATCATATCTTTCCAGTATCATTGGCGAGTATTAGTCTCCACAGCGTTTTATTTTTGTTACTAGATGAAATGTTTGACTCATTCAATTATGTTCCTTGATCTGGTATCCATCAGTTTAAAATTCGTTCAGCATTTTAGTCACCACCTTCTCTCGCTTTACGTGATTTCAGTATGCACTGTGGGTCTTAAATTTTCCAAACTTTCTTTCCTTATGTGTCCTAAAAATTCAGCTTTCTAATTCTTAGCAGCATTTTTAAAGTATGTTCCATTATATTTAAAATTTCCTCTTTTCTTACACACTCTATCCATTATATTCTCAGCATGAGTCGATGAAACCACATCTGTCGCTTCTATACTCCTGTTTTTCGACTGTCCAGTTTTTACTGCCATATAAGAAATTAGATATTAAATAGTAGTTCAAAAGTATTTTTTACATGATGGCATTTTTCTGTATCTTGATACATTGCTTAGTTTCTGGAAAATATCTTTCGATGTCTGTGTGGCACTTTTCTTCGCCGTTCCTTAACCAAATACTTAAAATTTCACACATACTCGATTTTGTAGTTTTCAATATTTGGCTCGTAACTCGGCCTGTATATTTTTCTGATAATAATTCAGTTTTTTCTTACAAGCTATGTAAAATCTGATACAGAAAATAGAAAAAGTATTTCTTGCCTGTGTAAGTTTGCTTTTTCAATGATGTTCACCCAGTACAAGGCCCGGGAGCCACACGAGATAAGGGATTACAGAGTAAGAGATACAGATTATGTGAGTATATGGGGGAGATTTGAACAGATTACGATTTTAGTGATTAGGGAAGCATCCTCTTGGGTGTTGATTCCACAAACCAGCGGTTCGCGGGAAGAAGCTGCTCGAGTGGAACTTAGGTCTTACCAATGGAATACGAAGGGATTGAGGGTGATTTGCTAAATGTGCGTAGCATTGAGGATCTAAACCCTGAAGGTTAGAAGGAATGTAGTTTGAGCATTTTTAATGGAACTAGAGAGAGCAACGAGAGGATTGCTACGTTTCGTCTGTGAGAAAAGGATTGAAGGCTGGAAAATGACTTGTCATTCACAGGGAGGCGGAGACTCTTTTGAACGTATTTTGAAAACTAAGTAAATACCAAAGCCAAATCATGCCTACTTACGCCTATAAAAATAGCGTTTCTGTATGAATTGCATTATGTTTTTTATTAGTTTAAATAGCTATATTAAAATTAAAGGAATTTCTCTTAAAATATTTAAAAACCTTGAGAGAATACATAAACACAGAATTGAAGAAACATCAGTGTCAAGAACCATGTGTCCCTCTAAATCGACTACCAGTCTTGTATTTCATTTCAGTTCTTCCTGTCTTTTCCGTCATATAATAATTATGATATATTTCATTCTGAGTTAGTCTATAGGTCTTTATGACGCGTAGAAGTATTTTTGATGGAATACGGTTTTATTTTTGACAGAATATCTTTAAGTGTTTAGGAGGGTTTTTTTTTTCTTTTAGCGGCATATGTTTTTAGCGACATCTTTTTTTTTTTTTGTTTAGCGGCAAATTTGTTAGGCAAGTGATTGCCGTAATTTCCCATATATAGTATGCCTTCATCCATAATAATCACACCTAAAATTGTGCTCAAAATGTGGGAAAATGCTTCTACCCACGCATAATATGCACTCCTCTTTAAATTTAAATATTTTTGTATGTAATTTTAGTACATAATAATGGTTTTAGTCATACAAGTCTTGCTATTTAAATATAAATTTAACCCATATGGGAGAGAAAAGATGGATTCATACCTTCCTCAAGGGTTTTTGAGCGTAAGTGTATATAACGACGAACCCATAAGAAATTAGAAATTGGCTCTTCGATTAACAATTCATGAAAGATTATCCATTACACCACCCGCACAGTCAAGCTTACAGCACCTGGTACTCCCAAGTGGTCACCCATTAGGTACTGACCAGGCTCAACATTGCTTAACTTCCGTGATCGTATGAGAACTGGTGTTTCAACGTGGTGTAGCCGTAAGCTCAATATTGTCCATGTATTGAATATTCAAATCCACGTAATCGGATTGCGGAATCTGAGAACCGAGTTCAAATTCAAGTCGAATCCATTACATTCACTTGCATGCTAATATCCTTGCGGAAGATATGAATCATCTTCTCTCCATCCCCTCCATCTATGGGTAAATATCAAGACAGACCGGGTTCTATAGTCTTGGTCTACCACAGAAAGAAATGGCAACCCACTGCGGGAAAAAATCTGCCTCGTCAGTCATGTATCGAAAGATAAATTATCGCCTAAGCTTGTATCACGCATGGCACATAACTGAATGACCATTCACCATTCGTCCCCGCATTGAATACTGCTGCCATATATGGTCTGGTGCTCCTGCAGTGTATTTCGAAGTTCTCGACAAAATCCGAAGACGGATCTGCAATGTGATAGGTCCTGACTTGGCATCTCGACTACAGTCACTTTCTCACTGATGTGATGTGGCTTCCCTCTGTCTTTTCTACAAATATTTTCATGGCAACTGTCGATTTATTTTCCCTGGTGCCCCGATTGCATGAATTTAAGCGTGCTACTAGGTTGGCATCTCGGTCCCTCACACTTACTGTTTAAATAGTTAAATGTAGCCACCACTTCTACTCCAACTCCATCTCGCACTTCCCGACAGTGGAACTCCATTCCATTTACTTGATTCCCTGATAACTATAAACTTCAAAAATTTAAATGCAACGTCAATCTCCTGATGCTTTGATCCTCGTTTTTTTTATCCTTTCTTCAATCCCCACCTCATACCTATTTTTTTTCCCTCCCATTTTCACTCCCTGGTGCTGCTATAGCGTGAGGTCTACCTCCCGTTTATCGTGTTTAGAAAATGTGAGACATAAATATCAACGTTAGGCCTCAACTGACCTGATCCATGCTAGAAAAAAATAGGAGAGGCGCATTATATACAGGTAATATATGAAGAGGGTAAAATTCATGCATTTTCAGTGACTGATTGTACTATACATAGGTAATTCTCTTTTCTCGAAGGGTTAAAATTCATCCATTTCCAGTGACCGTAACTTACATAGTAGGCCAACATTCTCACGGTACCTTTGGCTAAACTCAACGGCACAGGTGTATTCCTTTAGCCTGCCTTTCGTAGCCAAGATTCTTTCTTTCTTTCGGTGCTATTATAGCAGAGGGGCTACTTCAATATAGCGTGCGGTCTACCTCCGGTTTCACGTGTTTAGAAAATGTGAGACAGACATAAATATACATGTTGGACCTCAACTGACCTGAGGTGGCCACTTGAGGGGAGGTGCACGACATATTGAGGTAGACCACACGCTATAGTAGCACCCACTCTCTTTAACCCCTTTACGTATTAGTGACACTCTCGCCTTGCTTGAGGTGAAATGCTTAAAAAAAGAAAGAGCAGGGGTGGGGATATAGATCATTTTAGTTTTAAGTAAAAAATGCATTAACAAAAACTTGTCAGAAACATGTAATGGCTGTTTCATTCTTGCACGAAGGCACGAACTGAAAATAAATATTTCCATTAAACAATCACTTATTAGATTTGGCAATCTAATATCAGAAAGATTTCCAATTTAATGGCTCATCAAAATAAATCACGGGCTCAGAAATTCTTGCAAACGACAAGTCTTGGGTGACTGTAAATGGAAGCTGATTGAGCAGGTTTAATTTTCTATTTTGGAATTGCGATGACCTCGGAAATAGTGAAACTTGTAAAACAGATTGCAATATCAAACATGAACGCACACAGATATGCTCAAAAATGGCGGCGCACGGATAAATGTATTTCTAAATATTCATGTATATAATGAAATATTAATGATGAGGGAGGAGCTATAAACATACGCATAAAATTATATTTATTTATTTCCATTTCTCTCGTATATATATATATATATATATATATATACACACACATTATTCGGACTATTGTCCTCATCTTTTTCGCCATATCTATCACAACGTTTCGGCCGTTGTACGCTTTGGCCTTCTTCAGGTGGTTGGAATGTCGAACCGAACCCTTTATTTCGCTCACTGGGGTAGACTGTTCTAATTCCACGTGCCATGTTTAATGGATGTCAGTTATCTCCTGTTAATTTCCCTCTGAAATTTCTCCATTGCCTTAACTGGGTATTGAACTCACACTCTTTTGGGTCCTGTCACTGGATCTAACCAACGCCTTTATCCACTGTGCCATATGGAGAGAGAGAAGGGAGATCACCGCCCTCATGGGATCATGTTGAGATCATTGACAAGGAACACCATTGGAAAATTCGTAAACTTTTTGAATCAGCACATATGTTAGGCCACAAAAAAATCCTGAGCCGACCAATATAGAGATAAATACAATATATGGGAACCAGTAATAAGGAGTGCCAGAGAAAAGCAATGATAACAACATAGTTGCAATATGAACTCTGGTAAAAAACATGATTTGATAACAGCAAAATTGCAATATGAGCAATGGTAAAAATGGTATCTGAAGACATTAAATTTATAATACCCAGAAATTCATACCCAGATTTTATAAGATCATAAATACTCAAATTTTAGGAATACGTTTTCACAGCGTCGCCCACGTGACGACAACGTGACCATGTTTTAAACGGAGCGCTGATTTTATAAAACTTTCAGTTATTCTGTTTGGATAAGTCTTGTTCTTATGTACATCGTCTTTGTCATGTTCTATTGATAATGTTATAATTTATGAATATGTCCTGAAGATGGTTTATTAGACCGAAACGTCCGACGTTGACATATAAACATTAAAACAGCATAATTGTATATAAGGATTTTTGTTTGTTTTTTCCGTATATATTTTTCTTCATACTGTCGGATCTATATCCATATATTTGCTTATATATGGTGGTGACTGTCCGCTCGTATGCTAGCCAATCCCTGTTGCAGACGTCTGCTCAGATATATTTGTGTTTATACAGCAACTACGTACAGGAGGGAGCGCATTATCAAGTCAATATTATTCTAACTAAGCTTTATGATAATTCTTATTTTATTTTACGGCAATTTTTTAAAGAATTTTTGTAGAACTTTTTGTATACTCATATTTGATTTTTTTTTTGATTTTTTTTTTTTTGTATTATACATGAGGAATTACGGTAGCTGTTTTCCTTTGTCACTCTGGAATTCAATATGTCCTGTGAGTATCAAATTCACCAAGTCTTCTTTCCTAGACATGCGCTGAGAAATCTAAACTCCTGATTTTAGTTAAAAAGTGCCCTTTTTGTTCTCATTTTCCTTAAAACTTCGTTGTAACTCATGTTCAGTCTATGGTATTCTCAGCATCCTTCTGTAGAACCACATTTTTTTTGCCTCCTGTTTTGTCATCTGTGATGAGATTGTCCATCATTCACTGCCATATAAGACCGATATTAAACCTCCAACATTCTGGCTTGTTTGTAACGAAATTTTCCTGGTTCATAATATTTTGCTTAGCTTTTAGAAGTTATCATTTAATTAAAAAATCACTTAAATACATTATATATAATATGATATATATATATATATATATATATATATATATTATTCACCTCCAGGCAAAGTGATAATGCCACTAACATGCAAGGGGTTACTAGAAGTGAAAGAGAGAAAAGCCTTTAGTGAGGAAAAAGGAAAATAAAAGAACAAAAATTATGAAGACAGAAGATGGTGATTGGCATTGCATTTAAATGTTTGAATATTATGAATGGCAGGGAAGCAAGAAATCTGAAGGGTGTTCGACAGGCGAGAATTGCGATAAAAGAAAAACTATTACAATGGAACATGTGATTGCATCTAATTCACATGTAAAGCATTTTCACCTAGTTGCCAAACTAGTAGTACGCTTAAATTCAAGATCTTGCGGAACTAATGAACAAAGCTCAGAAGAATTTCCATGAAAATATTTGTAGAAAGGCAGGAGAAAGCCACGTCAAGTCGGCGAGAAAGTGACTTATGTCGAGACATGTCAGGAGATTTTATATATATATATATATATATATATATATATATATATAAAAGTTAATGGTCAGAGTTGAAATCAGTTGACCGAAATCGCCTGAAGATACCGAAAGGTTGAAACTAGGTTAGCAGAAACGGCTGATCTCCAAATTATAATAACAAGTAATCGAATATGACAGACGTTAAATTTAAACTAAGCGAAGAAGCAAAAATTAAGAAATTATTTTCCATAAATGGGTCATGACCCGTAGATTTGCAGTCAATTCTTAATTATATATAGTATGGAGAGCGATAAAAAGTAAAAAAGTTGTCATCCCAATTGTCATATGTTTCATTAATTTTATATAAGTGTGCGAATGTCTGTTGTTTTAGAAGAAAGGCTTTTATATAACAATAAACATTTACGTAAGTCATCTTGTAATATTGTATGTTTTCGATCCAATCCACTTCCCAATATCTGACAAAAATGACCTCCAGAGTTTTGTGAGGAAATCCCTTAGTCGGGCCGAGAACTTTTCAATACCACATCGTGTGTGTATATATATATATATATATATATATATATATAAAGAGATTTCGGTCTGAAGAGATGAATATATAGATATTCACGAAATAAATTATAACCAAAATGAATCTTTAAGGTTCTCTTCTTTATTATTATTCTCTGTAGTCTACATTGAGCTCTCCCTGGATTAATATCCTCCTTAGAATTATCCCTACCTGTCACAAATTGGTTATATATATATATATATATATATATATATATATATATATATATATCTACATGCATACGTATATATATTCACACTTATTTATAATAGTGTATAAGCGTCGGTGTGCGTGTAAATTGTCTTATATAGGTTGTTTATTAGTTTAATGAAGTCATTATAACAGCGGATATAGAAGTTCAAATCGATAAACCCAACTCTAATTTCAATTCTTATTATATTTCTATTTTATACTTTTATCTTGGATGCAGCCATATAATGAGAAAGTTACGCTTCCAATTTAACAACTTAGTTCGTTTATAAAAT